CAGCACTTCTCTGCTACCAGGAAAAATGTCATTAATCAGCCACTTCCTGATACTTTTCTGCAACCATATGAATGTGACAGTTTGAAATATAACCCCTGTGAATTAGAAAAAGCATTGGAGTGAGTCCATGAGAAACATGAGTTCAATAACCAGATCTGTAGYATACAACATCTGTGGAGATAAGATGATTTCTCCCTGGCTTTGATGTGATGGAAAGGGGTTGCTGAGTTCACTTGGAGAAAGTTCCCTTTCCATCTTCACGGAAGTTCCAACATGAAGCTTTTCTGAAGCAAAGCCCTGTGTGGGGGGAATGGAGCAGGTCCTCGGGGCTAYCAAAACCTCACTGAGCTCCCAGCCTCCTTGGGAAACGCGGATTCCCTTGGACAGAGAAGGCTGATCAAGGAGCCATGTCCACAAGGCGCTGGATGGGCAGGGCAGGAGAAGGGTTAAGGGAAGCAGGAGACCAGTTGCCCTCTCTGAGCAGGAAGGCTGTGATCAGAGCACGGATAGCGGTGGCCTCATCAAAGCCGCGGGGCGGTGGGACACAGAGCTGCTCCTTCCTGACACGAAACATCTGGCGCCGGCAGCGGCTGCAGTGGAGGCAGAGGGAGGGCGGCTTCCCCTCCTGGAAGGAATCCTGGAGGGGCCCCTTTCCACCCTGATACGGTGAGGGATGGGGAATAACCCTGCGCTTGCACGGGGAGCAGGGAACAGCCCCAGCTTGGAGCAAAGCAGCAGGGATAGAGCAGGCGCTGCGGCTGGTGGCCTTGGCGTGGTGAGAACTAGGTTGGTGGCAGAGGGTCCCCATCTGGGGGGGCAGCGAGGGGGCTCCCACGTGAGTGCCCGGGCCAGGTGGTGGCCAGTTGTCCTTCTCCTGGCTACCAGCCCTGGCTGCTTCGAGCTGGCAATGCCCTGCTTGCCCCAGCAGCYCTCACCTGGCACTGCAGTCCCCTTCCCGTGACACCGGCAATGCCAAAGCCTGTCCCTGCAGCCCTCTGCAGGCTGGCATTTCCCTACCACACAGGCATGGTCACAGGGGCCCAACCCTGGAGCTTGCTCAGTGCTTGGTCCTTCCAGAGGAGACRTCTTTTCCTCCAGTTCAGCCTGCAAATCCCTTCCTACCAGCCACCACTCGTCACCATGGTGCAAACCTCCCTGGGGCTGGTTGTCCACCTCCTCTGGAAGAGCTGCTCCTGCCAGAGGAATCCTGGAGGACCAGGGCTAGAAAAGGGTTAGCTGAGAAAGCAGAAGGCAGTCCTGATGTCTGCTCCGGCCTGTGATCTCTCATCCCCAGAGGCTCCCAGTGAGCATCATCCTCTTCCAGCACAAACAAGCCTGTGCATGAGCTGCTGCCGCATTCCCCAGGGATAAATCCCAGCCATACATGGGCTTTGAGAGCCAGGGCCTCCAGGGCTGCAGTTGCCACTGCAGGAACGCATGGCCCAGCACAGGGGAGAGCAGCTTTTGGGTCATACGGGGCAGCCGGCTCCGGGGGTGCCCACTCTGAGGCTGGAGCACATGGCAGGGCCAGGTGGCCGCTGACTCACCTCCCAGGACAGGGCGTCCAGGACGAGCCTGGAGCCTGCGCCCGCCTTGCCGAACGCCACCCACATCCCCAGGAGCAGCCAAGAGGGTGACTCAGCAAAGGCCGCTGCCAGCGCCCGCTGCTRCTGCTGCTGCTTCTCCACGGGAAAGCCGCTGTGGAGGGATGACGGGAGCAGCATCCCATCGTGCAGACTGTGCGCGAGAGCCATGCAGGGAGCCTGGGAGTAGCTCTGGGAGTAGCTGGGCTGGGATGCACAGCAGCRTCAGTTTGCTTTCGTATTTGATCTCTGCTTTACCTGTGACCTGCAGTGTTATTTTTTACCTGCAGGACTTGCTCCTGTGCTCAGTAGATCTTGTGTCCGCACAGATGTGCCCAGCTGTGCAGGAGGGCTGGACAACACAACCGCGTGCTGGCTGATGCCTGTCCCGTCTCTGCGGGGCAGGAGCTCCTCCTGTGTGTGTGTGTCCTGTTCGGGGCAGGCAGACACCTCTGCACCGGCAGGTGAGCACCAGCCACCGCAAGGGAGCTCAGGACAGCCCCTGGGCCTGCGCACCCACATCAGGGTGCAGGTTTGCCCCGCACCACCTGCATGGGGCAGCCCCGACCCCCAGGCTCCCCAGCAGCTTGGCACAGAGCAGGCAGAGCAGAACGGAGGCACTTGCTGCATCCCTGAGCTGGAGTCAAGATGACACAGCCCATGGTTCTGCCGAGGTGCTCCTTACAATGCTCCGAGGACATCAGGAGCTACAGCCACCAATGCAAGATGCGACATGAAATGAGGGGAAAAGAGCTTGGTGCTAGATGCACAGCTCCTCCACACAAACCTCATGAGATCCTCTGCCTTCAAGGCTCCCTGCCCTGGGGACCTCCTGACACAGGTCCCACTCAGCCCTAACAAATCTGGAGCCCTAGATATGCCCCAGATACAGCCCAGAAAGCAGAGCATCCCCACAGCACTCACCCTGCTCCATGATGCCCTTACCCAGGCGAGTGCGAAGGGGAGGAAGTGGAGAAAATTCCTAGTCAGTGTTAACCCCCACCCCCCCTTGTGGGATACCCAGCTCGATGGACCTTCAGTCGAAACCAGCACAACCTCAATTTCATGAGCTAATTCCTATTTTAAAAGCCTCTTTGGAATGGGGATGCAGAATACACTTGGCCTGGGTGCTGCCGGCCTGCAAGTCCCTGCTGAAACCAAAGGGAAATGTTTGTGCAAAACCTGAAGAATATTTATCAAGCTGATTTTGAGTTCAGTTCATTATCAATTACCTTTATTTGTCTTCCCCTGCTCCTGCCAATTYACCAGGGCAACGCCTTGGAAACTTGCCTCATTTGGAGGGAACAGGATGTAATTAGCCGGATAATCTGCTGGTTCTCTCGTGGAGCTCGGAGCGCCCAGTCTCGACACGGGCAGTGGCTGTGCAGGCTGGATCAGACCTGCTTTCTGGTGCTGTTTATGCATTTAATGTGACACAGGCAGGAAGGAAGATGCTGTCCTGCCCTCAGGCAATGACAAATCCACCTCCCAGATAACTCCTAGGATGGTAACCCGTGGGCTAAAAGCACCTGGGAGCTCTTGTTCCGGGCTTTGCTCTGGCAAAAGGATTCCCAAGGGGATGCGGATACCTATTTTTGACCAAGATAGGAATGATTTATTTCTCCAGCACAGCTTATCTCTATTTTCTCAGTTGTGTCCATCCTGGCTGCTTTATTGCAAGCTACTAGCTAAGGTCAAGCAATTTACTCAGAAGGTGCAACACAGCAAGGGCTCAGTCACAATTTACGGGAGGCAGATGGCACAAGAGATGCTTAACACTTTAACCAGCAAGGAAAATKGAGGGAAAAACCAATGCTCCAGAGTCCTTCAGGAGGCAGAGGAGAGCTGTCTTCTGATCAGTCCGTCAYGAACCTGCAGTTCAGCTGGTGGAAAGGATGTTGTGTTAACATACTGTATACAGCAAATATTCACTTACTCATCAAACCCAGCACTGCCACGGGGGTTGTGCCAGCTCCTTGCAGCACTAGGACAATTCCTTAGGTGTAGGTCTAGCAGCCCCCCCCACTCCAAGCCCTCCAGGTGTTTCCTCAGGGAGTCTCTCAGCCCATTTTCCAGGTAAGCATCCTATTCTAGAATCTGTCTGTTGAACTTTCTAGTTAAAAAGAAATCACTTTCACATGGAACCTGTTATTATCACCCCATATCTATTTACACTTCCCACCTTTCCCTAATACAACTAACACTGCCCCCGCCAAAGCCAACTGCTCTCCGATTGCCTCTGGTTTTCATGGTCTCGTGAACCTATGCTCTTCACACATTACACTGCCACACATTCCCTGCCACACCCCATCACCAGCTGAACATCTGAACAGTGGTAGGAAATTTCCAGGAACAGCCTGCTTGCATTCACAGGTGAGCTCCAAGATGAGACAGATGTGTCTTGTGTCTGAAACACCATCGTACTCATTGAGAATTACAAGAACTTGGATTTCMAAAAATTTTGTTGAGTAGAAGAGCAAGTGCTTTGTCTAAAAACTTGGAAAAGCCAAGGAGCAAAACTATACCTGCCTTTAGCAGTGCCTCAAACACATGCAAGCCACATCAAGAAAAGAGCTTGTTTCATCTAGTCTGACCTACATAACACAGCGTTGTCCAGTGACTCATGCATGAAGTCCAGGGACTGATGTTGACCTGGAAGAGTGGTTTCCAGTGATGGGCTCCAGCCTCAAGAGCTCTTCACAAGGGATTTACAAGAGACAACTGCAAAAAGCAACTTCACACTCAGGCAGCAACCTCTACCAGTGAATCACCAATGTGTGGGCAGCCTGGAGCCATCCACAATAAAAGAGGTGCAGACTGGCCTAGTAGAGCCTCTAGCAGGTTGGGAAGCCCCTTCCTGTGGTGGAGAAGGTATTGTGTACTACAGGAACCCTTCCCAACGAGACCCTTCAATGGGCAACCACCACATGACTGAGGGGCAACAGGTCTACCYATAAAGCAAGTCATTACCACGAGACAACAGGTCTACCCATAAAGCAAGTCATTTCCACGGGACAACAGGTCTACCCATAACCTCAAATTAGGGGCAGGTGAAACATCTACAACGCTATGATACTCCCGGGGCTCCCCATTAAGTCTGCGACAACGCGGCCCGACCACCCTTCAGCCACCCCCGCCCGCCTCGCGGGGATCTGGGACACTCCGACCCGTCCCGGGGACCGGGGCCGCCGCCCCGCCCCGCCCGCGCAGCGCCCACTGCGCATGCGCCGCCGCCCCGCCCGTCGTGCGCAGCTTCGCCGCCAGCTGTCGTGTCCCCCTCGAGCTGCCGTTGCTCCCTCCC